ACATAATATTTATGTCTCGGTACTATTATTACGTTAATATTTTCGTCATTCATTTTAATAGGTAAGTTAATAATTATAAAATCGTCTGGACTATGGACGTCTGTTTAGTTACGAATCGATCAGTCAGAGATTTTGTTGAAGTTTATGGGGGGAGGGGCTTAAATCTATCCTTACAAAATCAGAAGTGGGGAATTGAAAAATTATTTAAATTAAAATATAGTTTATTAATGTATTAATAAAAATTACTGAAAACAACTATCCTTTTTTTCGGGAACAGTAATATTCCTTCCCAGCAACTTAGATATGTGTGTGATAAACCTAATTGAAGGGGTTCATGCATAAATGAGACCAGAGACAACTCAAGTTTTGTCGAAAATGGATTTTTGGCTGTTAATTCAATTAAGAAAAGTTTAACAAGTATCTTTAAGATCTATCTGTACAAGAATGAGATAAATCCAACTTCCCTTATAGGAATTATAAATTATAATGTAACTGAGAGCTGTCTGATCTTTATTTTCAGTTGAAAATTCAGATAGCTCTGCTGATGGGTTTTTTTGTTTATTGAAGTGTTGAAAATTGTTGTTTTTGCACAAACCCCTTCAATTTAGGTAGACACATATATTTTATATATATATTATATACTTAATTTAGTTGTATCTACATTTGAATATTTTTCATGCTGTGGATAACTATCTAAAAAGTATAGATTAAGTATATTTATTTTTACTTACTACATTGCTCATCTGATAACACGAGATTGAGTTCTTAATCTAATTTCTTTTTAATACATGCAATAATTTATTATTATATTTGATAGGTAGCCGTTGCCGTTAGGTTGTTAGGTTCCAATAATAAAGTACTGCAGAATTCTTTATTTTGTATGTTCGCTGAATAATCGGTACTTATTCAACAAAATGGAACTTATGAATAACTATAACCTTCTTTGGGTCAAACATAAAAAAATATTAATATCATTATTATTATTAACTGGCAATTCATTTTTGTTTTTTTATAAGCCACAATTTATTATTTAATCACCTGTAATTAATATGTGGTCAGTTATTGCAATTTTGCATAGGAAATCTAATAATAATTAAATCTCTTGTCAGTTGGTCACTATTATAATCTATATTACTATGTAAATCATTCTTTACATTGACAAAATAATTTTATTTTACAAATATAATACACTTAACACATTATGATAATACAATTTAGTTTGCTTAACGAGTCACATAAATTAAAAAATAACTTTTAAGTTAATTTTTATATATAAACAAATTTTATGCAGAATTAATAATAAACATATTTATTTTATATTATACATATAATATTTTAATGAAATAAAAAMAMTWWACAAACAAGTCAAATATTATTTTTATTCTATTTAAACAGTAAACATAGAGTTAAAAGCATAACTATTATAATGTACAATTAATAATTAACAATACCTATTGTAATTTACAAGTTTCTGGTTTATCTAATTCTGAACTAATTTTAGGGAATTTAATTAAGAGAAAAACAATAAATATGAGCGTTTCCTTCACCATTATAACACATAATTCCATTCTGTTGCAAATAATTAGTCATTTTATGGGAATTAAAAATTAATAATATTATATGGTATATCAATCAAAGATGTAATCAATTTGGTATTTAAATTATGTATCATATATTTTTATTAATATTTATAAATAGATATTGCAGGAGTCACCAATTAATATTTTTGAAGGGTCACAATAGAAATATATATATTGTTTGCGGGCCATCAAAAACATAAGAATATATATTCAGTTTTTACTTCTTTTTCTTGTTTGCTAGTCGGATAAAATGTGCCCATGCACCTAACCTTATAAATTGGTGTAGTAAAAGACTTTGTATACTTAAGTCAGACACATATATATTATGTTCAAAAAATATATAAATAATTGTTAACTTGTTAAATCCCAATAATTCATGAACATAAAGACTAAACATTTTTAAGGAGTTCCACAGTATATTGCACATTAATAAACTAATTGGATCCATAGAAAAATTACCGGAAAGAAACTACACCGTGGCAGATATATAACTTATCATTATTATATGAATTTATCTATATTTCATAAAATTGTTATTGAAATGTTTTAATTATACATAAAATGCATATAAAAATGTAATATAACTATTTTATTAAAACTTAAAATCAAATATCATATTATTTAACGTTTTACCAATAACAGATTACATGAAAATATATGATTTATTGGTAGTTTAACATAACTATAAATCGCAACTAGTTACAATACTGTAACTGAACATTCATCTAAAATAATGTGTTATGATGCAATGCGTAATATTATAAAGGTGAGAAAATTATTCTGAACTAAAATTAACTTTTAATGTTGCATTATTAATTGTACACCATAATATTAATTACATTTAAAAAATACTGCTTAAAATACTTCAATAAATTTAATATAGTTATTAATTCATATTACAGAGATCGAAATGATTTAAAATTTGAGTCATCATTCTTAGACTGCCTAACAAATAATAATATTAATATTAAACAATGTATACATTCAACTGGAAGTTATATTATGTATTTAGTACTCAGACTTCAAATAGTATAATAATATAAAGTTTGACATGTATATAATTTGTTATTAATAAGTTTAGATAAATTTTATCAGATTAATTAAAATTATAAATGTGTGAAAATTGAGCTTTTAATCTAGTTTTAAATATATTTTTGAATTATAAAAAAAATAAGGTTAAACTAGCCTAACTGTATTTTATTAAACAGTGAAATATTATCACAATTTTGATACACATTATTAAATATCAGTTGCTCAATATCTTYGTGTGATTAAATACTGTTATATATGATGGGATGACTATAAAATAACCTTAGTAATTTAAAATATTATAAATAATAGAATATTTTAAAAATATGAAATACAAAATATGTATAATTGATAATAACATAAGTTATATTAAAATTTTATGTTTTATAAAAAATTATAAATTTAATCTTTAACTGCTTTACAAAAGATGTAATTAAATTTAAAAAGAGTGAAAGTGATTAGATAAACTTTAGTGTTATTTTCTACCAAGTATATTGTAGGAATTTTAAAATATAAAATAAAATATATAGGTACTATATACTTGTAACTACAAATTTATTTTTTGTGAGTTTATTATAAAAACATCTTATTTTTTTTTTTTAGACATTTTAGTGATTGCAAGACACTAAACACTTAAAGATAAAAAAAATTTGAAGCCAGAAATTTAAAATATACCATATATCTATTATATCTTCTTATTTTTTTTAAATTTGACAAAGTTATTAAATAAAATATTTTAATTTAAATTAGAACAGATAAAAATCTATTATTAGTAAATTCATATTAATAGTGTTATAAATTTAAAGTTTTTAATTTGCATGATTTTTTTTACACAATATTAAAAATACATCTTCTTTAAACACAATAGTACCATATGGCATATTGTAACCTAGTGATGATCCATGTCCTAAGATTGGTCAATAATAAACTATATTTAATCATGGAACTTTAACACTTCAAAATATAATACATTCAATATTTTTAAAATTATGAAACCAACTAACTTGACATTCTTATAGATTTATTACATTATTGAAATGTTAAAAGTATAACTTTTCTATCTTCAACACGAGCAATGCTTAAAGAAAAAAGAAGATAGATAATTTTAATAAATTTAAATTTTATATTTATGAATTTAATTCAAGGCTTTGCACCCAAATGATTTATTCGGGTGCTTCAAAGAAAAATAGAGGTTGTGGTATCAGGTTTTCTTAATTTTAAAGAACATGGGTTTTGTTTAGCCAGTATATTATTTGGGTTATGGGTTATTTAATTAAAATGATATATCAATTTTGTTGAGCGTAAATTTTTAAATTTGATTAAACAAAGTTTTAAGTTATATAATTAATTTTTCAGTACAAATGTCTAATACAGTAGTACCACACTTAGTATAATTAAATTTAATATACATTTTAATATTTAATATTTTACAATATTAAATATATGATTTAACAACAAAATATTAAATAACAATATAATAAATTAAAGAATAATATATTTAAATTTCAATTTGAATAAAKATATCTATAAATTATTGATAATTCCTTATAATAAAAATGTAATAACTACTTAACTTGTAAGAGATATATGAAGATTGGTTGCAAATCGCAATACATTTTATGCTTGAATAAAATAAAAATTATTGGTAAATAGTTAAATTTCAACCTGACACACATACTTACYAGTGTTAACATTTAGTTTAAAAAATTGATATACACCACTAAATTTTTTCTAGGCATTTTAAAATTTAAAATTATTTTAATATGAATGAAGTAGAAAAGTACGTACACAAAACAATTTTCACTACGGAGTACGGACATAATAATAAGTAATATTATATAAAAAGTTTAAAAATAACACAATTCAATTCAAAATAATCAAAACAATAGATCTATGTTTGTTTGTCACATAAAACCAGTGTTCCCAATTATGAAAAACTGAATTCATTTTCACATTTTTTTTTTATACGGGTTATGGGTTAAAACCAGAATTTAATTTCGGTTTTGGGTGTTTCGGGTTATATGTCTTCAAAATCAATCGGGTTATATGGGTTTATGGTTTTATCATTTTTAAGGGTTTTTTAAGGGTTTTGGCTATACGGGCTAAACGGGTGCAAAGCCTTGATTTAATTCTTTGTATATAATTTATAAGAAAATAAAGTAATAATAAATGTATAGGTAAAAGCAAAAGAATATTTTTTCATTCATATCAGTCTGAAGTCCCAAATGGCCAAATTCATTCTGGATACTAATTTCAATAATTTGTGAACAAATATTAAAAACTAAATATAATTAGTAGAATATATTAAACAAGTTTTGATTTTTTTTTTTATATATATCAATCAATTTTAATAGAAAAATGTACAATATTTAAAGCATAAAAATCAAGAAATAATTAAAATAATAATAATAGTTAAAGATATAACAAGAAAAACAATAAATGTTATTGTTAATTTAAAGGAATATAACAATTAAGGTCAATAACTAAAATGAATCAGTAGGTTGAACTGGGTTAGAAACTTTCCTAAAAACATAATAAATAAATAATAATAATAATAACCACAACTTATAGTGTACAGTTTAATATTTTGGATCATTGTTTTAAAACTTGATTTTGATATCTTAAGCTTACCTAAATTCATTCATCAAGTCTAATATACTATAGCATAGTTCACACACTTCATGATCGACTGATTTATCCAAAGCAATTTTTTGAAGAATTTCAATGCCATTTTCTTTACTGAGCATTGCGCAGTATTTTTTAGCTAAAAAAATGTAATAGTTATTTACAAAAATTAAATAAATATTTTTTATATTTGGTGCAAGTTCAATATAAATATAATTAATATTAATATACTAACAATTTTTAGTACAAACATGAAGTATTGCCCATGCAGCCCAAAGCTGAACCTGTGGTGTATTAGTTGATTTCAGTAACCCAATAAAAGGTTGGAAAGATCTGTATGCAACCATTTCTCCCTCAGGTGGCACCCAATGCTTTACAGTATATCGTAGTTCTTCTAAAACTTCAGATTTACTATTCACAGTAAATGTTTCCCAACTAGGTTCACATGCTAAATGAGCAATTATTCCAGCTGCAAAATAGCTTACGTCAATTTGTTCTGATCGCAACAAACGTCTGCAATGAATATATTCATTACATAATTTATTAGTAATTGCACTAATATATAATTACATATTAGCTGTGCAAAATAAATTAAATACGCCAAAGTACCTTAAAGTGGGAATTATATCATTGCTAAATAGCATATTTCTCAAATGTGGTACTTCAGCGATATTGTTTACTAAACCGAGTACTTTAGTTTCTACAGTACTATTATCAATAAACGTATTTAATATATTCATATATAATGTTAACCCTCCTTCATCGATGAAAACTTTACATGTTGTAGGTGATTCATCTTAAAAATAAAAATAGTGTTATTCAATTAACAATTTATTTTGATTTTGATTTTTAATTGAAATGACAAATACTATGTAAGACATATTATAGACTTTTTACTTAATTAATCCTGCTATTTATAAAAATAATACTAACAACTTTCATAATAAGTATTCATAAGTTTAATATATTCATTAAAAACACCATGTCATATTTTTAAATTATTACCAGTAAGATTCCAAAGTGCGCTAAGAGTGAACTTCATAGTAACATCAATAGTTCTAGTTGATAGTTTTTCATATACTATTGATAACAGTTTAGCCATATATCTTGGGTTAGATCCTAATTGTGATGTTTCTGATGTAGAAATTTTTGCAGCTACAAATTATTAAAATTTAAAATAAATTATTTAAATCAAAAATCCATAAATAAAAATGACAGTAAAATCTTTACCTAATATACTGCAGATTGCAACACTCATGCGGTTCATAACAATATCATTAAAATAATGTAATGAATCCAAGACTAATTTTGCACATCTGAATTTATCCATTTTTACATCCTAATATTCACCAAAATTACATATTATTATGAAATTTTTTTTAAATAATACTACATAGGTAGGTATTATGTGTTGTATACATCCATAAAAGAGAGGAGAAGTAATTTATGACTTTTTTTAACAAGAATATTGGAAATGTCTTTCAACTGGGTTATAAAACCAAAATGTGCAGGTATATTTCTGCATAATGAAATCGGCCACAAGCAACAGATGCATTTAAATATGTTACCATACCATTTTAAACATAATATTGTAATTTGTATCTATACATGCTCTTACTTTATCTAATATATTCGAATATGCGTATATACACAATAAGAAGGATATAGGCAAAACATAATTTTTAACACAACCTTATTGTGTTATGACTTATGAAACATATTTATACATTATTCACATTGTTCTGCGACTTGACTAGACAAATATGAAAAAACTAAGTCCACAGCCCTACTACTTTTTTAATATCACTATATAAATGGACTTAGTATTGTTAAGTTAAGTTATTTAAAAAATATAAGTATAACTGAAAAATAAGTTTATGTAGATGAACCCATGTAACTCCCCTTGGTTAAAATAATAAAATAAAATCAATAATTAAAAAAATATCCAATATAACCACTTCTATAGATAATTGAATGAGTTATAAATTATGATATACATACTTGCAATATACGATCACTACATAACGTCAATAGCGTATTTTTTTGCAACTGATTATGATTGGGAAAACGTTCCATGGCATCTAATGTTGCTTCCACTACTTTAGCCAAAACACTAGGATGAATGTTTAAGGCTAGATCACTCTTGGTTAAATTATAAAGGCAAGCAGTTGCTGCCATTTGTACCGGGAAACTGTCAGAAAGACAGTTCATCACATTTAAAATTAACTAATACAACAAAAACAAAAATTATAAGCAAAAAAGTATTTAAAAATAATACTGAGCTAATTAGTGTAATCTAAATCACTTGAATAATGTCAACTTTTGGGCAGTTATACTTTTCAGTCCATTTAAATAAGTGATAAAGACATTTTTGAATGTATGTTGGACGTTTTGTGTAACGTTTTAATCCAGTTAATAATTGCTCTTGTGTCACAACACCGGTAACCTAAAGACATTAAAATAAAATAAATGTAGTGTTATTTTTAAAAACATTAATATATACATGATATAATATAGTCTAATATATTTAAACAATACTAACTACTAAGTCTGGATTATATAATGGATGAGTGGGAACAGTGAACATAGCCAAACCGCAATCATCCATATGCATTAATCCTAAAAATTTTAACTTCTTATGAGTAGTCAAAAAATCTTGCATGATTCTTGGACCAACATTATCACTTCCTAAAATGTAATTCAAGATTTTTAACAATACTAATTTAATATAGGAACAAAAATGTATTTCCATGGTATAAGTAATTATTTATTTATAATTAAGTCAAAATATAAATCATTAAAATTCAATAGGTATATTTTTTATATCATTGCAAAATCAGGCAAAGTTAAGTAAAAGTATTTTTAACAATACTAATTTAATATAGGAACAAAAATGTATTTCCATGGTATAAGTAATTATTTATTTATAATTAAGTCAAAATATAAATCATTAAAATTCTTAGAATAAATTAGGTCTACTAACATTAACAAACAAATAAATTAAAAAGAACATCTCAAAATCATCAAAAATATTTTGTAACTCATAGGTTAGGAAACACTGGTTTAMAAAATAATAAAATAAAACTAACCAGATATATCCAATGAAACCAAATTTGGTAACCAATTTGGATCAGTCAAAAATTGTAACCAAGGTGTATCGCAACTAAAATTCTCAAACGGATGAGAATATTTTTCAGATGATAAATCCAAATGTGTTAATGATGTCATACCTTTAAGTGGACTAAAGGCAATCAAATGCATTGTAGCTTCCTATAAAAAATAAAATAACCAAAAATAAACTTTTTGTAATAACACCTTATAAATTTAATAAGCATATACWATACAAAAATTACATTAGTGAATTTTCATAAATTATATATACCTACAAATAATATGAATAAATATGTTTTTWAAATTAAATAGTGAATTCCCTTTAAATTATTAGTAATTATTTGAGCTCAGATGTTCTGGATCAAAATGCCATTAAAATGCCAACTAAAAAATTACACTCTTTTAAATGTGTATTTAAAATTACTTTATTACAAAATACACAGCTATTAAAAATGAAAAAAATGACTTATTAGTTTCTGATCTATTAAAATTACATTTTAAATAGGTTTACTACTTAAAGTATTAAGATTACACTGTATAAAAATTATTTTTCTGATATTTTCTAATTTGAAAGATTTTTGGCAATCTGACCATATGTTTTATAAATCAGAGACGGCCATTCCATGTCTACAGAGCTAATTAATGAATACTTAAATTTAAAATTTTCATTAGTTTCCACTGTGCCGTCGGTTTATAAATATCTAATTTCCTAATTCTATGATTGTGTTATTCATAAACAGTAATATTAGTTATGATTTTTTTTTTCATTGAACTATAACAAATTAATGATGATAAATCATAATAATATGGAACATTTTTAATATTATACTTATGAATTATAATATACATGCTAAATAATCTAGAAATAATAATTATATGTATTTATATGATCAACAATATGCCAAATAAGTTTACATCATAGAAATCTAGACTTCATAAATCAAATTTATATCATATTTCGGGAATTCTGGTTTTATTAAGTTAATGATAATAATTATATGTATTTATATGATCAACAATATGCCAAATAAGTTTACATCATAGAAATCTAGACTTCATAAATCAAATTTATATCATATTTCGGGAATTCTGGTTTTACGAAAACAAAATGCAAAGTCATAAACATCCAAGCTTAATTTATTATCATTAACTTAATAAAATGCTGAATTAAATTATTTATAAAAACTTGGATAACACTTGTTTGTTTCAAAAATATTATTTTACTTCTTAAATTATGTCAATAAAAAYAAATTGTTTTTAGTTTTTACCTTTAAATTATACACACTTAATTTTTTTAACTGGTTTTTTTTCTTTCCCAATGGCAAAAGTGTGTCAACTTTTGTATTGGAAATATCTAATGACTCTAAATGAGGCAAATCTTCAACCACAGCAATTAAATTGTTGGTACTAAACTCAGTATTGCTAACATCGAGTGAACATAGGTTTTTTAATTTTGATAATGAGACAGCGACACAAAATTTCAAGTCACTGAAAAACATATAGTAATTGGTAAATTATAGATATAAAGCAATTTGAGACAAAAAAGTTAATGCCTACTAAATTTTTTTTTTTTTGGTATTATTCATATAAAAATTATTAAATTAAAATCTTATCTATTTATCTTTTAACATTAAACTAAACATACATTAGCCCTTTTTTACAAGTACTTACTAAGAATCACTTATGAATGAACTATTGGAGACGCATAGTGATTCTAAATGTTGTGTTGTCCATTCTCCTAATGAACCAACGAGTTCATTTACTGTGCAGTCCAAACCATAAACTTTTAGTTTTTTAATTTTATGCTTTTTTAATGTTCTTAGGCCTTTTGTAGTCAAATTTTTTGTTTTTGGTAATATGACATTTCTAAAAAGCATAAAAACTATTTAAATATAAATAATAATATCATAATCACATTAAATAATACTAGGTAATAAATTGGGTTTGAAATATAATAATGAGTTTATATTTTTAAAATAAAATGTACATTTTTCCAAACTTTTTTTTATTTAGGGCATTTTAAATATTAACTATGTATTAAATATAAAACCAGTGCATGGATAATTAAATTATTATTAAAATTAGCTACCTATAAATACAAATTAATAGTTCCAGCAGATACTAATCTTAGCAAAAGTGGCTAATGCAAGATTGCATACAAATTTATAAATTTAATGGTTCAATAAAATTTAATGGAACAATCAAGGACCAATAAATCACGTTTAAGGGATGATTAACTTACTATTGATTCTTGCAAACCTGACATAAGTATGAGATCATTCATCTGTATCTATTAAATTTAAAAGTGTCTAATGTCTATAAATAGTAAGAATTTTACTGTGTTTAAATTAATTGAATTAGTTCCATAGTAGTACCTACTAATACATTGAAAAAATAGATTTTTTTATTAAACTATAATGTTTAAAACCAAGAAAAAAAGATTTGTTTAAAAAGTAAATTCTGTTCTCATTTATCAACAATAAAAAAGTATTTATAAATGAATACCTAATTATTTATTTTATTGGACTTATAACTGAACAATATTTAAAAAAAAAAAACTAATAACAAACCTCAAATAAACATTTTTATGGCTGAATAATGATAATATTTCATCATTAAGTTTATTCCGTACACTAAGTTTTGTCAATAACATCTCGGACACCTCCATTGGCAAGTAAACATTGCTGTCAATGAACATATACTCAGGTTCAGAAGGCTGCAAGTCGGTCTCACTTTTTTCTCCAGCCATGTAAAGTTTTTCAATGTTGTCGCAGATATAATCAATGCACAAATCTTTCAGTGTTTCAGGAGTGGCATACATAATGGATGGAGAAATCTCTTACAGTTCAAATATTTAAAAAAAACAACAATTACAAAAAAATTAACTTATGATGCTAGTGTAGGTCCTTAATGTTTACCAATGAGTTCTCAAAAGTTAATACAAAAGTCACATAATTATACCATAAAAGTCAGCTGATTTATATGAAAAGTGAAGACTGAACACTGAAGCACAGGCAAGAATGTACTAAGGTTGTAAGGTATAATAACAATATTATGATCCTTTCATAGGTATTAATGTATTATCACTAATTTGTGATATTAAATATTATTATCTATGCGTAGAACACGGTGGACATTTTTTTCACAAATGTAACAATTGATAACAACATGGAACCATGACTGGTGAGGGCCGTGAGGGGCTCACAACATCCAAAATTGATTTGTTTACTAATAACATATTATTTACAATACACTATAAGTCTATTAATAATTAATTACCTTATAATAATAACTATTGCAATTTGCACTTTACAATTTATTACAACACCCATGAGGTTATTATAATGTATAATGTATTATTCTTACTATCTTACACCATTAATAATTAGTAATTAGGTACTTAAATAAGATGTACATTTTTCTAAACTTTTTTTTATTTAGGACATTTTTAATGTTTACTAGGTACCTATTAAATATAACATCACTGCACGAATAATTAAATTATTATTAAAAGTTGGGTGCCTATAAATACAAATTAATATTAATAGTTACAGTAACTAGTATTTACTAAAAGTCCTCAACTCCAGTAATTACTACTGTAACTTATATTTAAAATAGTGTATTAAACATTTTATTTCAAAAATTATATTATTTCTTATAAATGTTTGATGAAATTTTAAATAGAATATTATTTTGTATCTATCTAAAATATATTGCAGCCGCGTTGCAAATGCAGCGTAACTGACAGCTGTAGTTATAGTTTATTGTCCTAGATTCAGTTAGTTTGGGTATTTTACAAGAATGTACCTATACCAATCATCTAAAAAAAGGCGSGTAAGTCGTGGGTGTCATTCTGCTGTACAGTAGGTTACAAGTGGGTTACTGTAATGGATGGAATTAAATTTTAATCCAATGATATACAGTGTTGAATCCAGACAATTTTTCTGGGGCAGCTCACTTTTTTTTTCATTGGTGAATGGTGATACGTCATTTTAGTATTATGAATTATATCTATAAATAGGTAGTTATTCTTATTACAATTTATAATTTAGACATTTCAAATTTATATAAAACTACAAAACAAATTAAAAACAAATAATTTTTTTTTAATTTTTAAATTAATCTAAGGTTGTCACACATTATTAATCGTATTACCTATTATTATTATTTATTGTAATTCAGAAATACCTAAGAATGCACCTTGACTCACGATTAAATTGGAAACATCATGTTCGCCAGAAAAAACTGCAAATTAAACTGAAATTGAAAAAACTGTATTGGCTGATCGGTACACTCCGAATTAGATCTCCCATGCAAACGTCTTTTGTATGTAGTGATAATTAAACCAATATGGACCTATGGAATACAGCTGTGGGGCTGTGCCGCAGTAAGTCCAATATTGAGATTATCCAACGTTGCCAAAACATTGCTATGCGTACTATTGTCGCAGCATACCGGTACGATAGAAATGACATTATTCACCAAGATTTGATGATGACCTYCATCCAGGACGAGATTGCCAAGTTTGCCAGAAAACACGAGAAAAGACTAGCTAAACACACCAATCCAGCAGCAATTCAACTACTTGATAATTCTCAATACATTAGACGTCTCAAACGCCGAAGACCATATGACTTAGTATAAATTATTAGACCAAGGCTGGGACCTCTCCATTGGGAGTGATAACCCAAACATGTTTTTTGTATATATTTACTTAATATTTATTCATTAATTTATTAATATTAATATTTATATATGTACACCTCTTAAATGTATTGTTAAAGATCATTGATCGTTATAATAAAAAAGCCTTAGGGCAGTTTAAAAAGAAAAAAAAAWTTCAACTGCTATTTTAAAAATATGTTAAATATGTTTTACGTATTTAGTCAAAATTTGAACTTGAAATGCCTATAAAAAAAATTGTGCCTATGTATTTTTAATATTTTTTAACTGCTATTTTTACAATGTGTTAAAAGCCTTGTATTACATTTTCTAGCTTTTCTACCCAACAAATACATTTTTATCGATATTAATTTAAAAAAAAAACTAATAATGATAGAAAATTTCAAATGCCTATGAATAGTTAGACTTAAGTTTAACATTATTGAAAATTGCATGGTGGATAGAATATACTAATATAAACATTCGGTGAAAATTTCATGTATCTATGGTCATTTGTTTTAAAGTGAAATCAAAAACCAAAATCGATTTTGTCGAAAACTGAGTGTGCGTAAAATTTCCCATTTCCCSCTTAATTTTTAGTTTGTTTTTCTCGATTATTTAGAAAAGTACCAACTAGATTCACTTTCTGATCGAACGAGGTACTGAAGTCAAAGATCGAAGAAGCACTTTTACTGGCCCAAAAAGGTGATGATAGACTCAAAAATAAAAATAATAAAAAAGCGCGAAAGTGGATTTCGCTATGCTGTACAGTAAGTTAAAAGTGGGTTACTATAATGGATGGAAGTAAATTTGAATCCAATGATATTATATCATTGTATACGAAATACGATTCTGAGCGAAGACGGGTTATCTGTCTAGAATATATTATAGATTATTAAAA